TGATTAAATCAGAGAAAAAATAAATTTATTTAAAATACAGAACAAAAATATATTGCTTAATGGGATTTTATCTGTTCCGGCCCAATTTTTTAAAGTACAGAATAAAGCCCTGTGATGTTATTTATTAAATGTCAACATTAAAATGTTTACGCAGTATATTTAATTTGATTTATTATTTAACCACAGAGAGACAGATACACAGAGAGAAAGCAAACCTCCAGGTTCAAGACTCGAACTGTGGTCAGTCATGTGGGAGTCCAGCACCATAACCACGCCACCCCCACTCCAGATAACTTCTGACTTGTGCTAACATGAGAACCAATGGTTAAGAAAAAAAAAGCTGGCTCAACAATGAGCTCTGGGAACTTGTCAAGGAATTCAATCTTCAAGTAATAACCATTACATTCTCAAGCCTTCACTTATATTTTTTAAACGTAATTAATTTAGCTTTATTTACTTCTATAAAATTTGACCAGAGAGCAATAGGGTGAGAGTGAGTGAGTGATTCCGGGATAGGAACCATGTTCAGTCATGTGAGAGTCTAGCACCTTAACCATCACACCATTTGCTGGCCCCTCACTTATATTTATTAAACGTTACTGTATGAAGGATGGAAACCAAGTGTACCCAGAACTGCTTATACGGCAAATTATTTTTAACAGTCCAAACACAATTTTGTCAATTAAAAAAAAATGCAATGCCCATGCATTACATACTGTAAGAAGTTTTTAATCCTTAACAAACTATTTTTATTATTTTAAATTTTGATCAGAAAGAGAAAGAGAAAGGGAAAGTGAGAGAGCAGCCACCAGATCTAGGGTTGGAGCCATTGTTGGAACCTGCAGTTAGTGTAATAGCTATGTCACTGGACTCCCATGTAGTTGACCATGGTTCGAGTTCCAGACCCAGTGGCTTAAACTAACACCGGGCACGTGTGTGCCCCCAAGATCCCGAGAGAATGGAGGAGTATGGAGAAGGGATTGTGGCATGGCTATCCCCCTGGGTGGTGATTTCTCACTTTGTGTCTCTCGGTCTCTGTCTTTCCAGTGAGCCCATGTGCCCTATAGCAAAAAAAACAAAAAACAAAACCCACCTCTTGGGGGGTGGGGGAGTGAGACCAGAACCATTGTTGACTATGTGGGAGTCTAGTGCCAAAACCACTACACCACCTACTGGCTCCTTGTATAATTTTAAATTGGGTAAAAACCTACTATAAACAAAGCAAAAGAAGTATCAGTATACTCTTCTTTTATAATCTTAATATCTACTACAATGCTTAATAGTGTGTATTTACTCTCTCAATTCCATCTCCCTTAAAAAAAAAAGAGCAAGGAACCACTCCATCTAAGGTTATTTAAGTAAGGGATATAAACTTTGAAATTCTGAGTCTGACCACGTAGGTCTTTAGAGGTGTTGCTGATGTAAACCATGGTCACACTCAGCAAGAGATAAAATTTACTAAAGTATTTAGGACACTCAAGACACCAAACATACCAGCAATTAAATAAAGAAAACAGTAACTGTAGAATAAGCCCACGGTATGTCGTTTATTTATTTGAGAGATTTTCACTATAGGGTGCGTGTGCTCGTGCGTGCGCACGCGAGAGAGAGAGAGAGAGAGAGAGAGAGAGAAAGTGAGAAATCACCCCCCAGGGGGGATGGCCACGTCGCAATCACTTCTCCTCCATTCTCCTCTCGGGATCTTGGGCACGCATGCGCACCGGTGTGAGTTTTAAGCCACTGGGTCCGGGACGCGAACTGCCGTCGACTACATGGGAGTCCAGCAACATAACCATTACGCTAACTGCTGGTTCCCCGAGTTATGTCTTTTTTTTTTTGAGAGATTTTTGCTACAGGGCACACATGCTCTCCAGATAGAAAGTGAGAAATTACGCTCCCCCTTGGAGGGGGGCATGCCACAATCTCTTCTCCATTATCCTTTTGGGACCTTGGGCACGCACAAGCATGCACACACAGTTTCAAGCCTCTGGGTGTGGAACTCGAACTGCGTTTGGCCATGTAGGAGTCAAGCAACATAGCCATTACACCATCTGCTGGCCCCAAGGCCAAGGTACTTCTTTAAAAATTTCCTCGTATTTTCTTTTTTGGAGAGGTTTTTGCTATAGGGTGTGTGCGCTTGCCAGAGAGACAGAAAGCAAGAAATCACCCCCCAGGGTGGATGGATGGCCACGGCGCAGTCCCTTCTCCTCCATTCTCTTGGGATCTTGGGCATGCGTGCACACGTTCCCGGCATGAGCTTAAGCTGCCGGGTCCGGGACTGAAACCGCGGTCAACTACGTGGGAGTCCAGCGGCATAGCCATTACATTAACTGCTGGCTCCAAAATTTCCTCATATCTATAGCATAAGACTAAAGACTAAAATAGTGGTAGAAAATAAATAAGTGAAAACATTCCTATTAAACAGGTTTGCTATCATCTGTGCATCAGATGTTAAGAGCCTTATTCCATTGCATATACAATATTTTCTGTAGCTGTTAGTTAGAAATAGGAATTAACATGGGACCAGCAGGTGGTGTGGTGGTTAAAGGGCTGGACATTCCCACATGGCCAACCATGGTTCAAGTCCTGGATCTGGTGGCTTGCTTTCATACACACACACACACACACACCCCCCCACACCCACAGTGTCTTTCTAAAAAACTAAAAAAAAAAAAAAAAAAAAAAAAGTGGAATTAACAGAAGTGGTAACTAGTAAAGGCTAAAATTGAAGTAGGAAATTGGCAAAGATTTTTTTGTGCATGTTACATTAAAAAGTCATCTGCTGGAAGCAGGAGTAATGGTTACAAGCTGTACTCAGTTGATCGCAGTTCCAGTCATGGATCTGGTGGCTTAGAACGCACACTTGACATGTGTGTGCATGCCCAAAGTCCCAAGAAGAGATTGCAGTGTGGCTATCCAGCTAGGTGGGTGGAGGTGGGGGGTGGTAATCTCTCCCTTTCTGTCTCTGGCAAGTGCACACGTCCTATAGAAGGAAATCTCTATTAAAAAAAAAGTCATCTGCTATTCTGTGAAACAAACTACAAAATTCTAAAGTATTTACAATATCCTTTACATTTAGGTATGAAAGTTTTCATTGTATTTTTTAAAATGAAAAAACTATGAGCTAAAGACAAGCAGTTGGCCTAATGGCTTTGCCATTGGACTCCCATGTAGTCAACAATGGTTCGAGTCCTGGACTCAATTGCTTAAGCTCACACGGGGCATGTGTGCACGCGTGCCCAAGATCCAGAGAGAAGGGATTGCGGCAAGGCCATCCCCCTCCCGGGGAGTGATTTCCCACAGTTTCTGTCTCTCTCTGTCTTTCTAGCGAGCGCATGTGCCCTATAGCAAAAACCTCTTAAAAAAAAAAAGAGAGAGAGAGAGAGAGAGAGAGAAAGAAAAACTGTGGGCTAATTGGTGGTGTAGCAATTAAGGTGTCTGGATCCCTCATGACCACCAGCATGCTTTGAGTCCTGGAGTCAGTAGCTTGAAAACTGTGACTGGACCCATGTGCATTTGTGTCCAAAATCCTGAGGAGAATGGAGAAGGGACAGCATCATGGCCATCATCGTCAGGAGGTGCTTTCTTTCTCATGTTCAATCTAGTGAGAACAAGCATCCTACATCAAAAAATCTAAAAAATTAAAAACTTGTTTCTTGATATAGATAATCCAATATACCAAGAATTCCTACATACTGATTTTGAAAGGCTGGCAGAACTAATTCTTGCTCATTCATGTTATCATTTCTAAATGTTCTTTTTAAAGGCATACACATTTCTAAACACAAGCTTTTTTTTTTTATCCTTAGCATTTGAAAATTCACAAGGTCTTAAAAAACATGAACAGCCCTGTTTTTTAGTTATGTAACAAGAACAAGAAATCCACCAGCAACAAGTTTTAAAACTCAGGTTTTTTAGTAGTCTTTAGAACACTCTAGATTTTAAAAAGTAGTAATCTGTTAAAGCATGCACAAAAATGTAACAGTGAATAAAAACCACAAATGACAAATATATTGGTTAACATTCCAAACATGTATAACCAATGAACATGGCCTAGGTTTTTATTGGTATTCACTTCAGTAACTTGAATCCACAGATATAAGCAGTATATAACCAGAAAGTTACAAGTAAACACAGATTACACATGCAAATTTCTGTTCACAAAGGTCACATGTGCAGGTACATGAATTAGAAGCGTGCATCTAAAATTATGGCCAAACTGTTTTTAAATGCAGAAATGTAAAATTACATCTTGAAAATATGAAGAGATGGTCTACACACTTCAAAAACCAAATGTTGCTTATACCAGAGATGTGTGACAGCTACAGGATTCAAGTGATAAGCAGTAAGATCTCAAGAAATTAATACTGGTCAAAGAGAACGGGAATATTTTTACATTTCACTGAAAATACATCGACTACTAGAATACGAAATCTAGCAAGAACTCAGGGGAAAAAATTACAAAATCTAAAGTCAATTACTTAGTATTTCTTATTACCTAAACAATAGCATGACATTGAAAGAAAACTGCACCTGCATTTTAATTGCCAATCTCATGTCAATGAAGTTCCTCAAAACTGAAATGAAACCAAAAACTTCAAACTCCAAATAAAGTCTGCAAGGCTCAGATGAAATGTGGAATGTTTCAGATGAAAAGTAATAAAAATACCATTGTTTTTGTTCTTTATTGAATGGAATTAAAAGTTGTTGACATTTCTTTGAAGCCTGGATATATCAAATTTCATTTTTCTGAATGGTTCTATGTTATCGTTTCCTTAGTGGTGCAAGTTGTCTTTAGTAGCTTATGAAGTCAGTCTCTACAAAGTACTTCTGTCTGTTGCCATTCTGATAAAACAAAAACTACTCTCCATTAACTTAACCATATATATATATATTTTGCTATAACACTTAACACATGAACAGACATCTATTATTTTTCCACTAAAACAAAAGAGTACAATAGTTTTCTTCTAACTATGAGTATTGTATTTAAAAAAGGTTTTGAAATCATTAAGCTTCTTGCACATCTTAAGCATCCTTCTTCTGCCTGCGTTCTTCTGCCAATTTATTCAGAAATTTCTAGAAAAGGGGGGGGGGGAGAAAATGACAAGGATTTAAGTCACCTGAGAGAAACGTAATAGATTAAAAATAACATCCAAGTTTAGAAACTTGAGATTTATTTAAACTTTATCAATATTATCAAGAATGAGGGTTTTTTTCCTATTAAAAATTTTATTGCCGGGCCAGCAGGTGGTGTGGTGGATAAGGGCGCTGGATTCCCACATGGCCAACCATGTTTCAAGTCCTGGACCTGGTGGCTTGCTTTCTCACTTTCCTTTTCTCTCTCTCTCTCTGGTCAAATGAAGAAAAATTACAGTAACAAATGGAAATAAATAAATAATTCTTAAAAAAAAAATTCATTACCACAGGGTACATATGTTTACAGGAGAGAGTAAAAAAGGGGAGGGGGAGGGAGGGAGGGAGGGGGGGGGAGAAAGGAAAATGTACTCCCCTTTGTGGCACGGTCATACTGCCCCCCCCTCCCGGGGGAAGGCCATGATGCAATTCATTCTTCTCCAGAGACTTTGAATATTCACAGACACACGTGTGCTTGGCATGATTTTTAAGCCACCAGGTCTAGGAGTTGAACCCCAGGTGGCCATATGGGAGTCCAGTGCCTTAACCATCACACTACCCACTGACTGCAAGAATGAGTTAACCTTTTATTAATTTACTTGTTTATATTTATATATATATATTTTAATAATTATTTATTTTATTTTATTCATTCATTCATTTATTTTTTAGCTTGACCAGAGAGAGAGAGAGAGAGAGAGGGTGAGAGTGAGAGAGAAAGAGGAAGTGAGAAAACAAGCCACCAGATTCAGGACTTGAACCCTGGTCAGCCATGTGGGAGTGTCCAGCACCTTAACCGCCACGCCACCTGCTGGTCCCAATATATTTATATATTTTTCAAGAGAGTTTTGCTAAAGGGTGCATGTTCTCGCCAGAGATAAAGTAAGAAATCATCCCCAGGGAGATGGCCAAGTTGCAATCTCTTCTCCATTCTCCTCCAGGGATCTTGAGCAAGCACACACATGCGCCTGATGTGATTTTAAATCCACCAGGTCAGGGACTCGAACCACAGTCAGCTATTTGGGAGCCCAGTAACATAACTACCAACCTGCTTAACCCAGAAGGTGTTAATTCTTATTCATCAGTATATACAACTACACTGGTTCAGAGGACACCACAGTGAAGTAACAAAAGAAAAACGGTGAAAGGTAAACTGGTATTTCGATCTGCAATCAACCTTAGCTTTCAGAGATGGGAAAACAATGAACATAGTCATATAAAACCAGTGTTACTCTGAGAACACAAATCAGCCAGAATGACATGCAATTGGATAGTATATCCCTAGCACAGTGGTTAAGTGCTGTACATAGAAGGTTGGATCTCAAATTGCCAACAGTGTGGTTTGTAACTCAACTCCCGCAGTTTGAACCCAGGCCCATGTACATTTTAGTCCAAAATCATGATAGGAAAAAGGAATAGAGGAAAAAGGAGTTTGGCCTGATTATGCCAGATCAGGGTATATGTTCTCTCCTATCTCTGGGAACAGACATACTCTCTGGCAATTAAAATAAAAAGCATGTGGTTGGGGACCAGCCCTGCTGCCCAGTGGTTAAGAAAGCTGAATTCCATAGGGCCAACCAGTTTGAATCACAGACTCTGGTGGTTTGAAGCACACGCAGAGCACATGTGAACGACTACAAAAAAAAAAAACTCCAATAGGTTGGAGAAATGAAGTAGGGAATGTGGTGTGACCAAGTCCCACTAGAAAGAGGATGTTTTTTTTCTCTCTCTCTCCTCCCTCTTCAGTGAGCTTATATATTCTCTGGCACTTAAAAAAGCAGGTGGCTGAGACACAAATGTAGTTTGCTGACATTTGAAACCAGATACATATGACTTCTAGCCACCAAAGATATATTAACACACTAATGAAGTACAAAAGATAGATTTTTCAAATTTAAAACATTCAAAGTTTCTGTACTTGTGATTGAAATGTATCAACTGTAGGGACTAGCAGATGGCATCATGTTACATCACTGGACTCCCCAAATAGCTGACCATGGTTCGAGTTGTGGACCTGGCGGCTTAAATCTCACAGTGGGCACATGTTCATGCATGCCCAAAATCCTGAGAGGAAAATGGAGAAGGGATTGCAGTGTGGCCAATCCCCCTGAGGGGTGATTTCTCACTTTCTGTCTCCCTCTTTCCAGAGAGTATACTAGCTTACAGCAAAAATCTCTAAAGGGACCAGCAGTTGGCGTGATGGTTATGTTGCTGGACTCCCATGTAGTCGACCATGGTTCGAGTCCTGGGCCCAGTGGCTTAAACTCAAGCGAGGCGAGAGTACGTTTGTGCCCAAGATCCCGAGAGGAGAATGGAGAAGGGATTGGGGTGTGGCCATCCCCCCGGGGGGTGGTTGCTTGCTTTCTGTCTCTTTCTGGCAAGCACACGTGCCCTATAGAGAAAATCCCCCACCCCCCCAAAAAAAAACCCCATTGTAATGGGACTGGCAGGTGACATGGACTCCCATGTGGCCGACCATGGTTCGAGTCCCAGACCTGGTAGCTTACTGTCTCTCTCTCTGTCCTTATCTAGTCAAATTAAAACAAATAAATAAATAGTTAATAAAATAATTCTTAAAAAAAAAAAAAAGAGAGAAGAAGTCATTGTAACTGGTCTACCTGTGATGTGGTGGTAAAGGAGGCTGGATCATACATGTCCAACTTAACATTTCAAATCTCAGACATAACAGCTTGAAAAACATGTCAATGTGGGGCCAGCAGGTGGCATGGTGGTTAAGAGTGCTGGACTCCCATATGGCCAACAGAGGTTCAAGTTCCAGATCTGGTGGCCCGCTTTCTTACTCCCCAACCCCTGTTCTCTTGGTCTATCCCTCTCTGGTCAAACTAAAAAATAAAATAAAATAAATAAAGTTTGTTAGTTAAACAAAATAATTCTTAAACAAATAAATAAAGCTGTGGCAAATATTCTAAAAAAAAAAAAAAAGCCAATGCGTGTGTGTGTGACACATAGCCAAAATCCCCAGAGAATAAAGAAGAGACTGCTGTTTTGTCATCTCCTGTGGGGGATGGTTTTTCACCCTTATTCCCTCTCACCAATGAATGTACGTACTCTCCTGAAAATTAAAAAAAGATAGAGAAAGCATCCCTGGGTAGATAATGACCACACCATAATCCCTTCTCTATTTCTCCCTTTCAGGAGTTTGGGCAAGAACTCTACATGTTTTCTAAACTGTCAGGTCCAAGTGCTGAACCATGTAGTTAGCCATATGATTTCTAGCTGCCTTAACCATCACAATACTGGCTGGTCCCCCATAATTTATTTCAATACTTAGTTCTTAAGTAACTAAAACAAACAAGACCCCTAAGTTTCAATATGTCTAAATAATAGGATACTTTTTGTATGTTTCAGTCATATGTGCTGTACTTTTTTTCCCTGAATCTTTTTTTTTAAACGAGAGATTATTTTTGCTATAAGGTGTGTGTGTTTGCGAGAGAGGCAGAAAGCTAAAAATCACCCTTCCCGGGGGGGATGACTACACTGTAATCTCTTCTCTCCCATTCTCCTCTTGGGATCTTGGGCATGCATGCACACGTTCCCAGCCTGTTTCAAGCTGCTTGGTCCAGGACTCGAACAGTTGTTGGCCATGTCAGAGTCCAGTGCCTTAAACACTACTCCACCTGCTGGCCCTAAACCCACTTATTTAATGAAAGCCAGAGGGACAAAGAAAGAAGACAAAACCTCTACATGGCTTCCAGAGTAACAGAACATTGTGCTACAACTGGACCATCCATCACAGGTTGGCTTATATGTATATCTTGTTGGACAAAAAAACAACGGAAGGGTCTCATTATTAACAAAAAATATCTGGGCCAGCAAGTGGCATGGTAGTTAAGACGATGGCCTCTCATAAAACTGACAGTGGTTTGAGTCCTGGACCTAATGGCTTGCTTTCTCACCTTTTCTCTCTCTGATGAGTGCATGTGCCCTGTAGTAAATTAAAAGATAATAATGGTGGATCAAATTAAATAATAATTTTAAAAATTTTATGTTTATTTACTTTAATTTTTACCAGCAAGGGACAGTGTGAGAAAGAGAGGGAAAGTGAGAAAGCAAGCTGCCAGGTTCAGAACTTGAACAGTGATCAGTCATGTATGTGGGAGTCCAGCGCCCTTAACTACCATGCCATCTGCTGGCCACTAAATAATTATTTAAAAAACAGGGGACCAGCAGTTAGCGTAATGGCTATGTCGCGGGACTCCCACGTAGTCGACCGCGGTTCGTGTCCCAGACCCAGTGGCTTAAAACTCACGCTGGGAGCCTGTGCGTGTATGCCCAAGATCCCGAGAGGAGAATGGAGGAGAGAGGACTGCGGCGTGGCCATCCCCCCTGGGGAGTGATTTCTCGCTTTCTGTCTCTATGTCTCTCTCTGTCTGTCTGGCGAGCGCACGTGCCCTACAGTGAAAATCTCTCTCAAAAAAAATTATTTAAAAAACAAAAACAAAAAAACCCAACCAACCAACAAACAAAAAATAAAAACAAATAATACCAATGTAAAAATCATGGGATATAAATAGGCACTTGAGAAAGCTGAAAAGGTTTTATTCTATCTGGTACACAGGCCTATAGCATCTTCCAAATTAGTGAAATTGCAGTCTAACACAATTTGAAGATACCTAGAGAGCTAACTAGATCACAGAATTAATTCATGATTAATATTATTTTATTAGGGTGAACTGTGAGAAGAGGCTCAATAGACATTTATAAGACCAGTTAAACTGCTGAGAGCTCATCGGTAAAGAAACATTATTGGTGTTGGCAGGTGGTACGGTAGTAAGGGGCACTGGACTCCCACATGGCCGACTGAGGTTCGAGTTCTGGACATGGCAGCTTGCTTGTTCACTTGCCATCTCTCACTTGCACTGTCCCTCTCGGGTCAAATTTAAATAAATAAGTAAATAAATAAATGCACTGGGCTGGGTCAACAAATGTTACTACACACACTTTATTTTTATATCTTATTTATTTCTGTAACTTAATCAGTTAATTTTCACAAAAACATTCTCATCTTTTAGATTCAGCCTTACCTTTAATTTCTGATAATGAGGGAGGCTGCTGCAATGAGTATTCTTTGCAACTTCTTCATTTGTATAAAAGAGTGAACACAGCTTACAGTAAAACCCTGTTTTAGGTATCACATAGTCTATACCTAGAAACACAAAACACACATTCTTACAAGTTAAGTAGACGTAAGCTTTTATTCAGTGTCGTCAAATCATTTCTCCTGTCAATGTGGCCCAAGTTAAAACTAAACAAAAAACACACAAAGCCATAATACTAGTGATTGGCGGACTGTTCAGGTTCCCAAAACCATATTCTTAAATAAAAGACAGAAACACAAAATAAAATGCAATGTATAATTTTCAAAGCCTTCACGAGAAAAAAGAACGTATTTTGGAATGGTAATGTAAGATAATACAAATCCAGAAGACCTAAGAGGAAAAGAGCAACATATCAAGGTATACAAAATGATTCCCCTCATAAATAAATCTAATTAAAATATTATTATAGACCAATTTAAAATCTTATTATAGTAAGAGTTTGCTGGGAAAAGGGGAAGAATAAAACCTTAAAATCTCACCAACAGGAACATTGGGCTGATACGGTCCAATTCTATACTCATCTGGAATCGCATAGTCCTCCTTGTTTTCATCATTTTGGCCATCAGCATTTTCACTTGCGTCTTTGTTGGGATCATCAGCATTCTCAGCAGATTCAGCACCTGGTTCTGTGTTTTCTTCATTTTTAATTCCATTTTCCAACGCCGCTTCATTTTCTTGATCAAGTTCCTCGATCTTGTCCACCTTAATTTCAACCAAACCATCATCATTTTTGTCACCAGATTTAAATGCCATGCCCGATTTACGAAGTTTCTGAAGTTCCGAATCTTCCTCATCACCAACCTCATCTAGAGTGACAAAACCTTCCATACTCCCTGGAAAATGACGCTGTTAAGAAAGACAAATATACTCTGCAACAATTATCCTGCAGCATCCCTTCCACTGGTTTTACTTGAAGGGAAATGGATAGCGTCTTTGACTATCTCAAAATATTTTTCCTTTTTACTCAAAAAATAAATTAAAAAATCACTGATTAAAAAAATTTAGCTTGGGGGACAGCAGGTAGCATGGTGGTTAAGAGTGCCGGACTCCCACATGGCCAATTGCGGTTCGAGTCCTGGATTTGGCAACTTGTTTTCTCACTTTCTCTCACTCTGTCCCTCTCTGGTCAAATTAAAATAAAATAAATACATAAATAAAGTTTAACATAATAAAATTTTTTTGGAGAGGTTTTTGCTATAGGGTGCATGCGAGATAGCAACAGAGAGACAGAAAGTAAGAAATCTCCCCCCACGGGATGGCCATGCTGCAATCTCTTCTCCTCCATTCTCCTCTCGGGATCTTGGGCATGCAAGCACACGCGCCCAGCGTGAGTTTAAGCCACCGGGTTTGGGACTCGAACTGCGGTCAACTACTTGGGAGTCCAGTAACGTATCCATTATGCCAACTGCTGGTCCTTAATAAAACAATTCTTTTTTTTTTTTTTTGAGAGGTTTTTCGCTATAGGGCGTGTGCGCTCGCCAGACAGACGAAGAGAGACATAGAGACAGAAAGCAAGAAATCACCCCCCAGGGGGGATGGTCACGCTGCAATCCCTTCTCCTCCATTCTCCTCTCGGGATCTTGGGCATGCACGCACATGGCGTGAGTTTTAAGCCACCAGGTCCGGGACGTGAACCGCAGTCGACTATGTGGGTCCAGCGACATAGCCATTACGCAAACTGCTGGTTCCCATAAAACAATTCTTTAGAAGAAATTTATTGGGGCCGACAGGTGGTGTGGCAGTTAAGAGCACTGGACTTGGCCCATATGGCTGACCCTGATTTGAGTCCTGGACCTGGTAGCTTGCTTTCTCACTTTCTCTCTCTGTAAAAAGTTAAATAAAAAATTCTTTTAAAAAATTTAGCTTGTTTTAGGGACCAGCAGGTGGCGTGGTGTTTAAGGCGCTGGACACTCCCACATGGCCAACCACGGTTTGAGTCCTGGACCTGGTGGCTTGCTTTCTCACTTTCCTCTCTCTCTCTCTGGTCAAATTAAAATGAAGAAATGAATGAATAAATAAATAAATCTTTTTAAAAAAAAATTCAGCTTGTTTTAAAGCTAAATAATGGAAGGCTTGACTCACATGAAGAACAGGCAATAAATGATGCCAGGATATTACTATTCTTTGTTTTCTTTTTTAGAGAGATTTTTGCTAAAGAGCACATGCACTTGCCAGAGAAACAGAAAGCAAGGACTCACTCCCCAGGGGAGTTGGCCAGACCACAATCCCTTCTCCAGTCTCTTCTCAGGATTTGGGACACACACACACACACACACGCATGCAGCATGAGCTTCAAGCCTCCGGGACGTCCTGGGCTCAAATCGCGGTTGGCCACATGGGAGCACAGTGAGTAATCATTACGCCACATGTGGGTCTTGGGATATTCATATCCTCCACTTCCTGAGACTATTATGCTTCCAGTGTATATGTCGAAAAACTGATTTAGAGGCTGGCAGGTGGTGTGGTGGTTAAGGATGCTGGACTCACACATGGCTGACTGTGGTTTGAGTAGTGGACCTGGTGGCTTCCTTTCTCTCTCTGACTATGCCCCCCTCTGGTTAAATTTAAATAAAGAAATAAAGTTAAATAAAATAATCCTTAAAAAAAAAAAAAAAACTTATTTAATGAAAGTAGTTGAGTAATATCCTTTGCAAGACGGTATCATAAGATCTAACTCTTGTCTAGAGAATATACTCCATTTGAAATAGTATTAAGATATTGAGCTCTGGGACCAGCAGTTAGCGTAATGGCTATATCGCTGGACTCCCATGTAGTCAACCGCGGTTCGAGTTCCGGACCCGGTGGCTTAAATTTCATGCCAGGCGTGTGTGCGTGCGTGCCCAAGATCCCAAGAGGAGAATGGAGGAGAAGGGATTGCGGTGTGACCATCCCCCCTGGGGGATGATTTCCTGCTTTCTCTCTCTCTCTCTGTCTGGCGAGCGCACGCGCCCTGTAGCAAAAACCTCTCAAAAAAAAAAAAAAAAAAAAAAAAAAAAAAAAAAGATACTGAGCTCTGAAGTACGACGGTCTAGGTTTCAGTTTTGGCTCAATTACTCATAAGCAGTATGAATTATGACAAAATATCTAACATGTCCTCCTACAACTTCTTTATTTATGAAATGAGAATGACAATGTTACCACACACAGTTGTTGTGAGGATTAAATGAATTAATACGTATATAAAAATAAAGCTCAGAAAAATTTATGGAATATATTGTCATTTATGTAAATAATTACTAGCCCTTACATGTGTAAGCATATCACACAACAATCATCCTTAAATATATCTAGACTAAATTAAAGAAGTCGTAAAAACCTGGAGGTTAGTATTAGTTTTCTAACAGCTAAATGTTTAGAAGAAGCCAACAAAACAGGATAACATTTTGTTTCAAGAATTATTTAATATAAACAGCTGACTGCAGTTCGAGTCCTGTACCTGGTGGCTTGAAACTTACACCAGGCGAGTGTGTGTGTGTGTGTGTGTGTGTGTGTGTGTGTGACTGCCCAAGATCCTGGGAGGAGAGGGAAATGCGGTTTGGCAATTTCCTGGGGGATGAGGGGGAGTTACCAACTTTCCCTTTCACACTGTCTCTCTGCCCACCGTGCACACACGCTCTAAGGCAAAAACTTCCTTTTACACACACACACGCACACAAGCCTACTTCAAAAACTTTTGTTCAGTAGACTTAAAATTTAATTGTATTTATTATTATTCAATTTTAGCAGAGACAGACAGAGAGGAAAATGGGGGGAGAGTGAGAAAGCAAGCTGCCAGGTCCAGGACTCACACTGTAATCGGCCATGTGGAAATCCAGAACCTTAACTACCATGCCACCTGAGAGCCCTTGTAGAGGTTTCCTGTCTTTGACTTAGGGTGCGTGCACGTGTGTGGGAGACACTGATATTGAGAGAGAAAGTGAGAAATTACCCCACAGTGGGGATGGCCAGGCTGCAATCCTTTCTCCTCCATTTTTCTCTTGGGATCTTAGGTATGCAAGCACATGTGCCACGCAGCATTGAGTTTCAAGCCACCGGGTGCAAGACTTGAACTTGAGAACTGCAGTCAGCCATCAAGAGTCCAGCAACATAACCGCTACACCATCTGCTGGCTCTTTAATGTTCTAATTTTTTTTTTTTCCTGGAGAGGTTTTTGTATAGAGCGCGAGCACTTGCCAGAGAGAAACAGAGAGACTGAAAGTGAGAAATCACCCTGGGGGGCAGGGGACCAGCAGTTAGTGCAACGGCTATGTTGCTGAACCCCTGCATAGTCAACCACAGTTTGAGTCCCAAACCTGGTGGCTTAAACTCACACAGGACGCATGTGCATGCATGCCGAAGATTCCTAGAGGAGAATGGAGGAGAAGGGATTGCGGTGTGAGCATCCCCCGTGGGGGGTGATTTCTCACTTTCTGTCTTTCTGGCGAGCGCACACACCCTATTGCAAAAACCTCTCCAAAAACAAAAAAATCACCCTTCAGGGGGGATGGTCGCATTGCAATCCCTTCTCCTCCTCTCTCTTCTTGGGATCTTGGGTACACATGCACCGGGCCCGAGTTCAAGTCACCAGGTCTGGAACTTGAACCGTCCAGTGACATAGTCATTACACCAACTGCTGGTCCCAATGTCCTAATTCTTAAGTTAGGTAGCTGGTTCACCCAGGGTCTTTTGTTTTACTATTATTTATTCCAAGTGTGTAATTTTTTAATAATTTATCTGTGTTTATTTATTTTAATTTGACCAGAGAGGGACAGAGTGAGAGAGCGAGAGAGGGAGAGAGAGAGAGAGAGAGAGAGAAGAAAGCAAGCTACCAGGTCCAGGACTCGAACCGTGGTTGGCCATGTGGGAGTGTACAGTACCTTAACCACCATGATACCTGCTGGTCCCTAAATAAATAATTCTTTTTAAAAAAATAATTATTTATTTTTTAAAAATTTATTCATTCATTCATTTATTTCTTAATTTGACCAGAGAGAGACAGAGGGTGAGAGTGAGAGAGAAAGGAAGTGAGAAAGCAAGCCACCAGATTCAGGACTCAAATCCTGGTTGGCCATGTGGGAGTGTCCAGCGCCTTAACCTCCAAACCACCTGCTGGTCCCTAAATAATTCTTAAAATAGCAAATTGTAGTATAAAGCTGCCTACTGTCACTTATATGCAACTATAATACAAGCCATATATAGTTTGTCTCTTTCTCCATTACTAAAAATTTTCCCTTGAGACACTTCATGTTATTTACAACTGGGATAAAATATCTTTTATCAATTAACTGCAGATAAAAGATGAAATGTTTATTAAATGTTTATATCCTGATTCCTATCTGATTTTCCCCCCCAATATAAAGAAATGACAATTCTTATTTGACCCTGTCAGGGTAAATAATTTGGAATCCTGATGTGATCTAGAGTCTTACTAAAACAAGTTAATATGAAATCTTTACCTTTTTAAGCTTTTTCTTTGCTGCTGAAGTACTTGTATCTTTTTTCATAGCTTTGTCTGAGGGCTCCTTCTTCCCATCAGCAGCCACGTCACCTAAATTAGCAAGATCAGTTTCATCTCCCACAGAACTGCCACTTTCTAGTAGTGCTGCAGCTTCTTCTTCATCTACAAGTAGCTCATCTTCAGATTCCAGAAGCATATTGGGTTCTTGTTCAGTCTGGTCATCCTTTGGGTCTTTCTCACCATCTTCACCAGACTTCTCTTCTTGTTCTTTACCTTCAGTTGCACCTTCAGTCTTCTGAGAACCATCAGTTTTAGATTTTTTGTCACTAGGAGATTCTTTGCCATCTGGAGAATACGATCTTTTCCTGAAACAACAAAGATAAACCGAAATTAATTTTTCTAAGTTAGAAAAATAGGAATTTAATACATGACTGCATATAAACACATACAAAATAAAATTACCGGGACTTATCTTTTTTGAGTAAGTCAATGCCTCTGTTGGGAATCTAAAAGATAAAAACATTTTTGCAGAAGTTAAACAAACATATTAAAATACATTTATTTGCAGAATATTTTATTGTGCACAGTTGTGCCCATCCTGTATATACATCAATTCACCTTTTCCATCTTTGTAACAATACCCAAGAATTTAGGATGCCAATATCCTATAAATAGATACTGTAGAAGATTTTTGTAAAAGAGTTGTTTAAAAAATGTATTTTCGGCGTTTTGGCTCTCTGAGTAGTACCGTGGCGGTTTGCAAGAGTAAGTGCCTTACGAAAGGCGGCAAAAAGGGAGCCAAGAAGAAAGTGGTTGATCAGTTTTCTAAAAAATATTGGTATAACATGAAAGCACCTGCTATGTTCAATATAAGAAATATTGGGGGGACTAGCAGATAGCATAATGGCTATGTCGTTGGACTCCCATGTAGTTGAACATGGTTCGAATCCTGGACCCGGTGGCTTAAACTCATGCTGGGTGCGTGTCCATGCGTGCCCATCCTCCCTGGGGGGTGAGTTCTTACTTCCTGTCTGTCTGTCTCTCTCTCTCCCTTTCTGGTGAATGCACATACCCTATAGCAAAACCCTCCCCCCCCCCAAAAAAAAAATTAAAAAAATAAAAAAAAAATAAAAAAAATAAAGGGAAAACACTAGTTACCAGGACTCAAGGAAACAAAAATTGTGTCAGTTGGCCTTAAGGGCTGTTGTGTTTGAAGTGAGTCTTGCGATATGCAGAATGACAAAGTTGCATTTAGGCAATTCAAGCTAATTACTGAGGATGTTCAGGGCAAAAACTGCCTGACCAACTTCCATGGCAGGGATCTCACCCGGGACAAAATGTGTTTGTTCCATGGTCAAAAAATGGTAGGACATGATTGAAGCTCATATCAATGTCTAGTCTACCTATGATTATTTGCTTTGTCTCTTCTGTGTTGGTTTTACTAAAAAACGCATCAATCAGATACAGGTCTCTCATGCCCAGCATCAGCAGGTACACCAAATCCAAAAGATGATGATGGAAATCATGACCCGGGAGGTGCAGAGAAATGACTTGAAAGAAGTGGACAATAAACTGATTGCAGACAGCATTGGAAAAGATATAGAAAAGGCCTGCCAATCCATCTACCCTCTCTATGATGTCATCAGAAAAGAAAAAATGCTGAAGAAGCCCAAGTTTGAATTGGGAAAAAAATCATGGAGCTTCATGGTGAAGGTAGTAGCTCTAGAACAGCAATTGGGGATGAGATGGGCACCACCATTAGCGAGCTGATGGATATGAACCACCAGTCCAAAAATCTGTTTAAAGTTCAGACTTTTAACAGGGACAAATAAAGAGTCCTATTTGTGACAGTTTGTACCTGAACATTCTTTTTAAACCTTAAATAACCTAAAAGCTTGGTGAATTAAATACTCTAATTTGATAATTAAGTTTTTTTTGACTTGAGTATGAGTTTTATTAAATAGCTGAAAAGGGGAAAAATATACATATGTACACATGTATATACACATATGTACATGTGTATATATGTATTCATGTCTACTTATTTCTTCCATGAGCAAGAGACTGAGAAACATGGCACTCCAACAGGGTCTCAATGCCATAAACCATTCCCAGCCAACCCTAGATCACAAACATGCCAAGGGCCTAGTGTACTCAGGGAGCTCTGGACACACACCCAGAACCACCTTGCAGAGGCTTGTTTCTAGTGCAATGAGACCTAAGACCTCAAAACAAAAATTTTAAACTTCCGCTCCTAGAGAAGACCTGGAAAAAAAAAAAAAGGTTTTCTCCCAATAACCAAATCCTGTAATTCTGAGCATAAAATAAGCTTTATATTAAAGACACGAAAAGCACTACATACCCTCAGTACCAGTTTTTTATACTTTTCAGACAGGTCAACCTTCACACATCTTCCCTGAAACCAAAGGGCTTTTTTCAAACAATGGTCAACCATTGCCATTGCATCTTCTCTGGTTTCCATCTCGATAAAAGCCTTAAACCAAACAAACATACATTATTTTCCACAAAATTCCAAGTAATACTAGTAGTACTTATTCTTGCTAGGAAAAGTTTAATCTTTAGCAAAATGACCTTGTTAAAAACAACCTGTCAGATTTTCTTTAATTTGCTTAAGGATATGTGTGCTCTCCAGGGAGAATCAGAAAGAAAGCAACATGACAGAGCTAAAGAGAGCACACTCCCCAAAGGGAATGGCCACACCACAATCACTTCTCCTTTCAACATTCTGGGCACGAATGCACACACCCAGCATGTTTTTCAAGTCACTGGGTCCAGGATTCAAACTGCAGTTGGCCATGGGAATTCAGCTGCCTTAACCACCACATCACCAGCTGGCCTCAGCCTCTTAGATTCAGAAAATCCACCCAGATCACTGTAGCACCAAATATTAAAGCATTGTATTCATTTCCAAAAGAAAGTAATAAGGTTACAAGACATTAATCAAAACAATACAAGAAAGCAAAGTCCAAAAAGACGTAACTGTGAATATTGAGTTACAAAAGTGTTTTAAGAAATAAAAGATCTCCGTACTCTCAATTAAAACAAAAATCCTAAGTATGATTATGTCAGCTCCACAGTCTGGTGGTTAAGGCAACTAAATCCTATATGGCCAACTACATTGTTCAAGTTCCTGCTCTGGCAGCTTCAAAAACATGCTGGGTGTGAGCTTGTGGGCATGTGTGCCCAGAATCCTGTAGCAGTGGAGAAATGGAGAAGGGACTCCAGCATAAGCATGCCTCTGCACTTTCTCCCTCGCCACCCCCATGAGTGTATGCACTCTCAGGCCAAAACAAAAACTGAAAACAAAACAAAACAAAAACACAAACATAAAGAAGTTTGAGATAATTCAGCCACTGAATTCACATATTTGGGGAAGTTTGTAATATCCACTGTTTGCTGGAGTAATTTGGCAATATCAAAATTGTTTTGTTAAAAAAAAAAAAAAAAATCAGGATTGGGTTCAGCCAGTGGCATGGTAGTTAAAGTGGCTGGCTCCCATATGGCCATTGAGCATGTGTACATGTGAGTCCATCCTGCAAGAATGGAAAAGGGATTGCAGTGTGGCCATCCTCTTCCCAGCGCGCGCCCCACCCTCTCCCCCCCCCCCCCCCCCCCCCGATGTTTTTTCACCTTCCCTCTCTGTGTGTGTGTGTCTCTCTCCAGCAAGAGCACACAGCATGTAATAAATTAAAACAACCAACCCAGGACCCAGAATTCCTAATAAGCAAGTAGTCTTATGTTTCAAAGCCCACAGCCAAATAAAACCTAGAAAATCTAAACATCCTCAACCCAGGAACTTAAATTTGCTAGTTTACTAAACAGACACTTGTATAAACAGAAAAGCAACATATAATCCCAGTTACAAAACAATTTTAGAAGGTATAGTCATGAACCATGATGATGATGTTTTGGTCCATAATAAACCACATGAGATGGTGGTCCCATGAAGACATACCACACATAGCTTAGGTACATAGTAGGATGTACCATTTACACTTGTGCAAGTACATTCTATGTTTGTACAATAGACAAAATTACCTACCAATGCATTTCTCAGAATGTATCCCTATTTGCTAAGGAATCCACAACTATGTGTACACAGATCTTTAGAAGCAAACCCCAGAAACAGTGGTACTAGCTGGAGTAAGAGATCTCTACTTTCCACTCTGTACTTTTCAGTTATTTTCTCAATGCTTTACTGTAAGAATCCATTATGACTTAAAAATCACCACCCATCACTATATGGCTAAGAAATTACCTACAAGATAAAAAATTACTCTTCCTACTTTCCTTGCTAAAAATGATATAATGAAAAATCTTAAAGCACCTTGAGAAATTTTTTTCAGAACCTCTAATGTATATTACCTGACTTTTCATCCTCATCAATATATAGTTTTTTATTTTCTCATAAGGCTCAGCAAGCTTGAGGACTGCACTGTCAGAATATCCAGAATGAGGCAAGTTGCTGAGATGTATCACACATCCAAGTTCTTGCTTTTGATCAAACTTCTGATCTGGCTTCCCTTCAGGTTTCTATAATAAAACAGAAACAAAAAGAAAAAAACTTAAGTCTAATGATGATGGGTGTTAAAATTATTAGTCAGCAGTTAAAAATATTCTAATTTAAAGCAGTAATTTTAAATAGCTAAAGTTAATAAATACTAAAATGATGAATTTAAGTCAATTGGTAATGCACAACCTGGAAAAAAATATGGTGCTACCTTTATCCTTTTATACTTCTGGGATAAATGAACTCTCACTGGCTTTCCAAACACTAATGCTGGAGTGGTTGTGTAATAATCAACTGCAGCTTGAGCATCTTCTGTGGTTGCCATTTCAATAAATGCCTGCAAATGTACAAAATAGAATTTCTAAAAATGAGTATTTTTCAATAAATTTGTCTAAACTCTTTCAGTAATGGTTTAACACCATTTTAGTATAGGTCTGAAATAGTTCTCTTTACAGTCTTTTAGTTATAGAATAATAATTATTATTACTAAAGGATCATAATTTGTTTCCAAAATCTATTTCTACCATGAAAAAGACAAGGAGTGGGGAGGTATCTTCAAACAGACCTAGCCCCAGTTTTAGCCAGCTCAGATCATGGGTAGATGTGTACTTGGCATGCTCAGGGAGGTCTCCAGGTACAAACCCAGAAACTTTCCAGCCTTGCACAGCATTGTGTTACCAGTAAACAACCACCCAACTCCAAGGATCATGATAAATTTCAACTGCTGACTTTTCCCTTTATTATATATTCCAAATTGATAATTTAAGATTAAACTGAGTTCTTTTTCTAATATAAAACCATTTACTCCCTTTAGGAAATACATTTAGCAGTATGAATAGAAAAATGATTATTTCAATTCATACCTCATTAATTTTATTTAGAATCAGATGATTGGAAATGACTGCAAATGGTTCTACCAGCTGCAGTAATTGGTATCTCAAGTTTTTCCCCCGTTGAAAATCTTACAGCACTTTGGAAATTTTCCTATCCATTAGGAAAAAAAAAAAAAAAAAAATCAAGTCAGTCACTTTAAAGCTATTTGTAGCAATTTATGTATTAGAACTTGTACTATGATTAACCAGAAAAAGATTAAGTATTTAAAATAACAATCATAACATTCTACACAATTTAAACCCACACAGCAAATCAAATGTCAATGGGGTAAATTCTTTCTGATTATATCTAATGGTTACAGTAGCTCAAATATAAGAAAACAGTCTCTGCAGTGATTTTTAAATTAAATACTGTGTATTATAATTGCATAATAAAGTTTCTAAGATACTGAATCAAGACTAAATCTCTAGAATATGGACATATGAAAACTTACTAAATATCAAAATCATAAAGTCTACTGGTTTACAAATCACAGTAGTCTTCCTATAATAAAGATGACATAGATCGAATACTAAGAATTTAAATTAACATTCCCCAAAATAATACAACAAAAGCAAAAACTTTATTACTGACCACTCTGCCTTTCTGCATGTGTCTTGGTCCTTGTAGGTTGCCATTTCCAGCACCTTTATGGGGGGAAAAAGTATTTTTCTTTTAATCTTGCAATACACTAGGATACAAGTAATTAAAAAGACCTTTCAAATGCAAATAAAAAGATCACAAATATGATTATCTTGCCTCTTCATGCAATGTTATTTTTGAATAACCTTTAAATAGCCTTCTTTAGCCTATCATTGTTCCATATACGCTTTATCATAAATACTATCATAAAAATTATCAGAGGGAACCAGAAGGTGGTGTGTGGTTTAAGGGCTCTGGACTCACCCACATAGCCAGCCAGTTTTTGAGTTTCAGACCTGGAGGCTTGCTTTCTCACACCCCACCCCTACCGCCCTGGTCAAATTAAAAATAAATGTGACCAACAGTTAGCGTAATGGTATGTCGCTGGACTCACGTAGTCAACCACGGTTCATGCCCCGGACCCGGTGACTTAAAACTCACGTCAGGTACGCGTGCACGGGTGCCCAAGATCCCAAGAGGAGAATGGGAGAAGGGATTGTGGCGTGGCCATCGCCCCTTGGGGGGTGATTTCTCGCTTTCTGTCTCTCTGTCTGTCTCTGTCTGGTGAGTGCACGTGCCCTATAGCAAAAACCTCTCCCCCCAAAATAAAATAAATAAATAAAATGAATGCATGAATGAAAGTGAAATAATTATTTCTTTAAAAACCGTTATCATGGAAAGGCAGGACCTGTTGCTTAGTGGTTAAGAGAGTTGTACCCAATATAGCTGACTCAGTAGGTCAAATCCTAGCCCCTGTAACGAAATACATGCCACTGAGGCCAGCAGATGGCACGCTGGCTGGGGAGCTGGACTCATACATGGCTGACTATGGTTCAAGTTCTGGACCTACTGGCTTGCTTTCTCACTCCCCCACTCCCTCTCTGGTCAAATTAAAAACAAAACAAAACAAACAAAAAAAACACCCAAAAAACAGTAATAAAAAAAATTCAATAACTCTTTTGAAAAGCAAACAAAACACTACCAGAGAAAAGCAATTTAAATTTTAATATAATCACCCAGATTTCCTCTTGGTCCAACTGCTGGTCCCCCAAGATGAAATGAGGGAGGCGGAGGTCCCAGAATTCCTGGTGCTGGGTTTGTAGACTGTTGTAACATGAACGGATCACCCCTAATAACGTGAAGACATAAAATATAAAGCATGATAAGGAGACCCATCAGAAATAATTCATATTTATTGTTAAAGCACCTCTTACATGACCATGCGCACTTAAATCTTTAGGAGCTTCAATGTGTAAAATAAGTACTAACAGTAAAAGAACAAAAATGACCACCATGAAGAAATATTTTAGAAAAATTCTTTTAAGTACAGTGATTTTTTTTTTTTTTTACCAAATTCTCACATTAGTAAATAAATTCTGAAAGCATATTTGTTCGTGAAATGTGGAAAGTTAAAACCTGAATAGCTCACATGGATTTCCTTTACAAACAATAGCTTAAAAAATTTAACTTACATTGTGTGTCCTGTATCATTGTCAGGATTCCATTCTGGATAGCTTTAAAAAGATCAGAAAATTAACTTTAAAATAAAACTGTCCTTGTTGCAAAGTAGCCTTGTTTGGCCTCTAAAATAGAGATAATTTATTAGTAGTTATCTGAAAGTCTAAGTGTTAGAAAAATCATTTTAAAGCATGTCAAATAGATATTTCACAACTTCAAAGTAATCCAAATGAATGAGAATAAATCTGTCCTATACTGCTTGCAAATATAGATAATGACTGTCAAATTTTTCATACGTTTGTTAAATCATTAATGAGAAAAGGTGCTGCACAAAGAAATTAGAAATGTGAGTTACACAGAGAAACAAGAACAGACCATAGGTTTTCCTTCTCCCATATTAAATACCAACAGCAGAGTTGAGTTGTAACACTAGATAAAAAGGACAGCGCCAAAAGCTAAGTGTATGTAAAAATTGGAACTTCAGTGAATGGGCATTTTATGTAGTTAGGCAGGGTTTCTTTAGGAATTCCATTTCACTGTAGCAGTCTAAACTGAAACCAAAGTTATCGCAAAAGCAAAAAATATACCATGAAGGATTTTGCTTGACAACCACCGTCATTATCTTCTATAATTTTAGAACATGTATTAGTATTCTTCAAAATTATATTCTGAGTCTATTTTACATATCAAAGGTTATCTTTTACTAAATGTATCAAAAACTTTCAATTTGTATAAGAGTTAATTTCTATTACCCTAGAAATAACATTAAAGTACTACTATTGCTGCATCTAATATTCAACATATGATTCCAGATTTAAACATTTGTTTTTAAGTATTGCCTAGACCCCATCAATTATGTGATAATAACACCAAATATTACAAGTGATGAACTCCCAAAAACCAAAAATGTCTGTTTCTGATTCACATTAAGTATGCTTTAAAGGTATTTCAAACTCCTACATTTCAAGAAGAAGCTGGCATCGACGACTGTGACTTGCTCCATTGATATGTTGACTCCACTCCTGCAGCAAAGTAAATTAGTAGAATTAACAAAGATAAAGCTAAAATATTTTCATCTGAACCATTCAAATTCTAGCACATTAATATCTATGCAGTATCATAGGATGTACAAATACCTGTCCATTCATTAAATCACATTTATTTAATTTGACATAATTTTTCTGAGTCCTTGATGCTTGATCCTGCCCTCAAATACGCTATGCACATGCTTGGAAAAACTGGGTAACTTGGTCAACATAGAAACCTGACAGAAAAAGATACAGAATTAATAAAGATCAAGAATAGTAAATGACCTTAAGATTAGCTAGGCATGTCAATTTCTACTGTGAAACAAATTGAAGTATTTATTGTATATTAATTGAGCTATTTTGTAGTTTTCTAAATAATAAATTAACCACGTTTATGTCTTTTTTAAAAAATATATGCTATTATGTCAAAAACTAGTTCAAGATAGAATCTTTTTTTTTTTGGAGGTTTTTGCTACAGGGCGTGTGCACTCGCCAGAAAGACAGAAAGCGAGAAATCACCCCTCAGGGGGGATGGCCATGCAGCAATCCCTTCTCCTCCTGGAGTCTTGGGCACACACGCACATGGCATGAGTTTAAGCCACCGGGTCTGGGACTCGAACCGCGGTCGACTACATGGGCTTTCAGTGACATAGCCATTATGCTAACTGCTGGTCCTTCAAAATAGAATCTTTAATTTCATCCAGACTTTGTAGTGAAAAATGAAGCATGATTAGCATTGCCATAAAAAGTTAACATGATCGAATAAAAATAATTTTTCTAGAAAATGTTCAATAAAGAAAGAAATTTATTCTTTTTATTCAACTATATTTTCGTTTTGTCAGGGAAAAAAAAACTTATGTAGCATGTAAGTAAATGGGCTAATAACATTTTAGTGATAGAAGAAATTGGAGTTAGGAAAAGTGGGCTATGCTGCCAGATTGCCTAGGTCCATTCCCAAATTGCATTATTACTAGTTATGAATCTTTGGTACAAGTTATTTAAATTCACTGCAATGATTCTCACAGGATTGCTGTGAAAAGCAATGAGTTAATAAAGGTAATCTATTTATGAAACCCTTGCCAGGACATATGAAGTGCTTAAAAAAAAAAAAAAAAAAAAGAAAAACTACTGCACTGTTTTATAAAGAGATTTTGTTTTACAATTCCTACTTAACAACTATTATTGATGTTTTACAAATTTGAGGCAATTTCTGTAATACCCACACTACCTAATACAATGATTGGGATATAAAACATGTTCAGGCAATGTGTTTGGGGGCAGGGTATTGGTCTCACTTGGGAGGTTAACTAAAATAAGGCAACAAGTTAAAAGATATACCTCTTTCTGAAGAGCTTCAGAATGGCATTTAATAAAAGGGATACTAATTTTTAAAAATGGATTTATATTAGTTTACACACTTCCTATACCCTAATGGAATTAACTAAAACCTTATGAATGAACTAAGCTGGAACACATCCAAACAACACTACTTCCTTAGAATGTGGGAGCTATAAATTCCAATGCCTCTCAAAGCTAGGTTGGCAAAAAAAAAAAAAAAAAAAAAAAGAAAAAAAAAATAAAAGCACTGGCAAAAATAAATTTAAAAATTGTCTACATGTCTGGTTTGTCCTCAATTTAAATAATTAACAAAAACATCAACAACGTGAGGCTTTATTTGGCACTTTTGCCCATCTGTACATTTCATCCATATTTTGGAATGCTTGCCGAGATCCAGGTGCCCATTTAGGCGCTGCTCTACTAATGCTAGTACTAACACTAATACTAATAGCAACCTTGATACTGACACTTTACCAGTGTCAATACTAACATCGATCCAATACTAACACGAACACTGATACTAATTGTGACACTGACAATGATATTGATACTAAGACTGACACCCATAATAACAATGGCTCTAATACGAATAGTGATACAATTCCTAACACTGGTACTGATACTAAGAGGAGGATTATTATTTTATAGCAATTCACACTTAGGGCAAAAAAAAAAAAAAAAAGGAAAGAAAAGCTAATAGCTAAGAAATTCCAAGAGATCTCTCCAGTTGACTCTACATTCAGATATTTGGGGTATATACAGTTTCTACTCACAAAGCAATAGACCATTGTAGAGGCCACTTTTTAAATGGCTACAATCAAGAGGCACCATAAGGTAAAATTCACAAAATTCAGAAGAAGGATTAAACATATACAATACCTTAGAATCATCTAACTAAAAATACCTTCCGATTTTATTAATAAGATCTTTTAAGTAGTAGTATTCTGGGAGAGAAATAGATGTCATCCTATTAGGCATGCTTCTAATACCTAGGAGGTGGAAAGGATACATAGCTGAACAGAAAATACATCCAATCCCCCATGTTATTTCAGGTTTAAATTTATGACTAGTTTTTCAAAGTGCCAGAAGAAAGGCCAAGATCAGAAAATCGGTCATGTATGCACCTCCCAAGCCCACCCATTACTACCTGCACTACCACACTCGATCTTTTAGTGTGTGGTTTAAAGTGATGACCTATATCCTTGGAGTCTACATTGAGGAAACTCTTATATCAATAAAGATTGAGAATTCACTTTTTGAATTGAGGAAAACTACATTACTTTATGAGATATATTGAGTTACAGAAACAAAGACTAATTTAGGAATTACTTCCAGAATAAAGAATTTAAGGGCTTATCTAGAGTAATATTGAAAGGAAAAATAGAAACTCAAGTGACAAGATAGTAAAAGGGTTGTAGAGTGGGCAATTTTCTTTAGGTGAAAGGAACCTGAGGAGATTGTGCAGGAAAGCAAACTGGTGTTCTAAAGTAACTAAGAAAGAAATAAAATCAACACTTTTGTCACCTAAAAACAGAAAAAGCAATGACACTACCTATGATGACAAATGTCTTTCACCTAAGTTTCTTTTTTCATGGTGAAAACTTCTGATCATGTAGGTTACTATTACAAATGAAAAAGAACAGATTTTCCAAGTTATGCAGCAATACCAGAGAGCAGGATTAAATGTTTTTAAAATTTCATTATCTGCTTCCACTATAGATATTTTCTTAAAAATTGATTATCAGAAATATAAAAAGAGGGGTCCACTGTTTAAGTGAATAGTTAATTTTTTTCAATAACGTTCACACAGAAAACATCAGCTGTTTTTAGGTAACCAGAAAACATTAAAAGAATCCATGTATTTAAACTTATTAAAATCTGTCCAATTTACAAATACCATAAATTTTGAATTTCAAACAATTAAACAAAAGGCCTCTAAATGTACTCAGTATTTTGACAGAATACCCAAACTAGCTAGACCTATAAGCATTTCTACAGGTTGAAAATACCTCTTGCACTGAGACAGTATTATTTTATTCTTGAATCCGTTTCACCAAATTTTTAAAACTGATGTTTTAAATTAATTTATTAGCCATCTTCAGAAACTAGAAAGTAGCAAATTTTGGAGAGAAAAGAATGTAAAAACTGAAACTTTTCTCTGATAGGAGCCCTCTTCTGGTTCCTTTTCCTTTCCTTCTCCATTCCTGAGGTCAATAGCTTGACTCCAATTTCAACAATTTTAAGCCCCTTAAAATCACTTTCGTTTAAAACACTGTAATTTTCCTTAGAATTTAGAGATCCCCTTTGAAAACACTGACCATTCTGCTGTTCATTTTATTTTTTTTAAATAAATAGGCAAGAAATTAATGCAGAAAAAATTGGAGTCACTGAGTTTTGACAGACCTTTCTCATGGTATCTATTTGCACTAGACTTCAAACTTGAAACTTTAGTACTGAAAAACTATCAATTAATCCCATAATTTATCCAACAAATCTTACAAAAAGAGAACAGCTAAAAACACCTATCAAAATAAAATGTGCTGACTTTTGAGTCCAGGATTCTATTTCTTAAATGAAAATAAATCTATGATCCTAAACATAGTATTTATGTTCATTTGTTTTGGTATGGATTAAAGATTAAAAGAGAAAAATACTGAGATCCAAACATAGGAAAGGGATTGACTGTTAACTCTTTAAAAACAAAATCTCTAAATGACAGGAGTTAGCATACTAAAAAAATACTAAAAAATGTATTTCAGAGGAATAGATCTGAAAAGAAAGTGACCCTTCCAGATGTAATTGTAAAGAAAAACCCTGTAACAGTAACCACCAAATCAATTTCATGGCAGCAACTTAAGCAGAGTACTATACAGCACACCAGGAAAAATGGATGGTTACAGACTGTGGATCAAGTTAGTGGGTGCTATAATGTTGACTTTAAGTCAACTATACTGTATACTGGGGGGAAAAACAGTCAGATGGGTAACACTGAAAAAGTTGAAAGAGAAAGGACATATTTAAAAGGGCATTTTGAAAAAGTTCCCATTTTGCCAGATGTGATCATTAAAAGCAAAGTAGAATTAGATATTTTCCCCCTAAATGAATATACCAGAAGTCTAAGCCTAAGTCAGAAAAAGACTTGCTTACGAGGAACACAGAGCAGGATATTCTAATAGCTGATTTGTCCAAGTCTAAAGGGATGCAACATGGGATAATAAAAAGTGAGTTTTGAAGTATGTTTAAGAAAGTTGTGGAAAAGGAGAAAAAAAAATGATGAAAAATTTCATAGTATGAGAATCTGTGTTAAAGGGAAATTAAAAAAGGAAGAATGAACTAATCTAAAATATGAACCATACTGAAACAAACATACATTATCTCTTCCCCTGTAGCCACAGATAAGGAAAAAAGAATTATTCAAGAATACATCTTTACCTACATACAAATCAGTAATCAAGACAGATGGAGGGCTGAAATCTAGCATCCTGAATGGCAGAGCACATGGACTGCAAAAAATTACTTAAACAATTCAACAAAGCAGACCAAAAAAAAAAAACCTGCTTAAATATGTGATTAAGAAGAACATGTTGATGCCAAAAACCAACAAGATAATCCCAGTAGATGACAGTTTTGTGGCCAGAAGTAATCTAGGCAGATTATATTAATGTAAAGCCCTGGTTTAAAATGCTCAAAAACAATTACCTTCCAAATAAAGTATTTTCTCAAAAGTATAAAAATTCTCGATCAACTCAGTGTCATCAGACTACAGAATTAGAGTAAAAGATATAGGTAAATACAGAATAGACACTACAATGTAAAAGAAATTAGAAGCATCTGTTGCATTAACTCACCTTATTAGAATGAACTGGCAAATCACATATAGAGCACAGATGGGGATAACCCTTCGGTAAGAGTCCATGGAAGTCTTCAATATTGCTACTTGGAGGAGCGCCCCTCTTTTTCTCAAAGAGAGATCTCTCTTGTAAGGGGCCAGGACCACGTCCCATTCTCTCATACTCACTGTCAAATTTATGATAGTTATGCGAGGTCTCACCAAAAAAAGAATCATCCCTACACCTTTCTCCATCTCTTAATCTGTCATCTTCATAATCCATTCTGTCATAATAACCAGATTCTTGAGAACGACTTCCATGGTCATAATCAAGCACTGGGTTGAGACTAGGACCACGATCATCAAAACTATCT